CCTTTTGAAGGCTTCTCCTTTTGAAGGCTTCTCCTTTTGAAGGATTTTCTCCTTTTGAAGGCTTCTCCTTTTGAAGGCTTTTCTCCCCTTGAAGGCTTCTCCTTTTGAAGGCTTCTCCTTTTGAAGGCTTCTCCTTTTGAAGGCTTTTCCTTTTGAAGGCTTCTCCGTTTGAAGGCTTCTCCTTTTGAAGGCTTTTCTCCCTTTGAAGGCTTCTCCCTTTGAAGGCTTCTCCGTTTCAAGGCTTCTCCTTTTGAAGGCTCTTCTCCTTTTGAAGGCTTCTCCTGTTGAAGGCTTCTCCTTTTGAAGGCGGTTTTCCGTTTGAATGCTGGACGGCAGAGTAAGGTTAAGAAGGGCCTTTGTGTTGGCAGCATGTTTCTTTTTCATTTGTGAATGTGTTTTATCATGAAGACTTACTCCATTGGTCTTTTTTTCATCACTGGGTCTGAACCTGAGCGCCAGAGTAAGGTTGAACAAAATTGGAATAAGGTGAAGATGCGTAAAAGTAGACAGTGTTCAGGTAGAGTAAGGTTAAAGCAAAGGAAAGCTTATGAACCTTACCAACTTAGAAGGAGAATAAGGAGAATAAGAATCAGGAGGATAAGGAGGATAAGGAGCATAAGGAGCATAAGGAGCATAAGGAGCATAAGGAGCATAAGGAGCATAAGGAGCATAAGGAGCATAAGGAGCATAAGGAGCATAAAAAGCATAAGGAGCATAAGGAGCATAAGGAGCATGAGGAGCATGAGGAGCATAAGGAGAATGAGGAGAATGACGAGAATGAGGAGAATAAGGAGAATACGGAGAATAAGGAGAATACGGAGAATAAGGAGAATAGGGAGAATAAGGAGAATAAGGAGAATAAGGAGAATGAGGAGAATAAAGAGAATAAGGAGAATAAGGAGAATGAGGAGAATAAGGAGAATACGAATAAGGAGGATAAGGAGGATAAGGAGGATAAGGAGGATAAGGAGGATAAGGAGGATAAGGAGGATAAGGAGGATAAGGAGGATAAGGAGGATAAGGAGGATAAGGAGGATAAGGAGAAGAAGGAGAAGAAGGAGAACAAGGAGAATAAGGAGAATAAGGAGAAGAAGGAGAAGAAGGAGAAGAAGGAGAAGAAGGAGAAGAAGGAGAATGAGGAGAATGAGGAGAATAAGGAGAATAAGGAGAATAAGGAGAATAAGAATCAGGAGAATAAGGAGAATAATAAGGAGAATAAGGAGAATAAGGAGAATAAGGGGAATAAGGAGAACAAGCAAAACAAGGAGAATAAGGAGAATAATGAGAATAAGGAGAAGAAGGAGAAGAAGGAGAAGAAGGAGAAGAAGGAGAAGAAGGAGAATGAGGAGAATGAGGAGAATAAGGAGAATCAGAATAAGGAGAATAAGGGGGATAAGGAGAATAAGGGGGATAAGGAGGATAAGGATGATAAGGAGGATAAGGAGGATAAGGAGGATAAGGAGAATAAAGAATTCAAGGAGAATAATGAGAATAATGAGAATAAGGAGAATAAGGAGAATAAGGAGAATAAGGAGAATAAGAAGAATACGGAGAACCAGGAGAATGAGGAGAATCAGGAGAATCAGGAGAATAAGGAGCATAAGGAGAATAAGGAGAATGAGGAGAATGAGGAGAAGAAGGAGAAGAAGGAGAATAAGGAGAATAAGGAGAATAAGGAGAGTAAGGAGAATAAGGAGGATAAGGAGGATAAGGAGAATAAGGAGAATAAGGAGAATAAGGAGAATAAAGAGAACAAGCAAAACAAGGAGAATATGGAGAATAAGGAGAATAAGGAGAATAAGGAGAATAAGGAGAATACGGAGAATTGGAGAATAAGGAGAATAAGGAGAATAAGGAGAAGAGGGATAATAAGGAGAATAAGGAGAATAAGGAGAATAAGGCGAACATACAAGGAGAACATGCAAGGACAACATACAAAGAGAGAATAAGGAGAAGAAAGAACGTTTGCCGCGCTGGGGAAATGACTGGAACCAACTTGGGACATGGCGGAGCCAACAGCTTGCAAGGAGCTGGGCCCCTTGGTGTCGATGGCCACCGACAGCGCGAGCTTCCTGTCCGGCGATGTGGTGTTGTCCTTTGCCAGGTGCGAGGTGTCAAGCTTGTGAACACTGGGCGAGTGGGAACAGCAAAGTCCGAAAAAGCTGCATAAGCAAGCAGATGCAGATGCAGACGTACGCGCAGATGCAGACGATCGCGCAGATGTGCACAGACGCACCCACAATTAGCTCACTTGCACAGGATCAACGTAGGAGGTGGTTCATGCAGCCTAAATACTATGAGGGTTGGCAGGCGACTGGCCAGCTTTTCAGATCGTCAAGGCTGCTTTAGTTTGCATTCAAGCGTCGGTAAGGGCAGCGCTTTGCGGACTTGGCACTAGGTCCCTGATGCGCGATCTTGAAAGGGAGGTTTCGACCTTGGGTTGAGTCACTGCATAGCTTGAGTTTGCAGGAACCTCAGAGCCTGGCCTGCAATGCTTTTCAATGTTCGTGCAGCTTGGGAGCAGGACCTTGGCCATCACCAGACACATGGGCGGCCTGCAGGCTTGGTGCGGGGGCCGAGTTTTGTGGCCTGTAATTTGCCTCATGTTTTGCACGGTTATTTGGTGGTAACATGTGTTGAGTGGGTGCTGACGAGGAGCGCTTCACTTTTAGCTTTGCCTTTCCTAGCAGCCCTTATGCTTTCACGCCCGCAAGGCACCAACAGCACAACCACAGGTGCCGCTAAGCTGGATATAAACTAGTTTTGTGGCTACTCCAGTAGGGAACAAAAACTAACTTTTAAAGGTGATACCTGATTGCCCGCGGAAAATGCTCGCCAGAAGAAACACAGTATTAGCCGTGGCTCATATCAAGCCTCACTGAGCACCGCAGGATGTGAACGAGGCTGCTGTGTTTCGCCTTCTTGGTGAGCATGTGCTTGAGCAAATGCCGCTTGCCCGGTCTACCTTGCTGCGTTTGCACGCCAGCAGAGCTGTTTTGTCCTGCCCGTAGAGTTGTGACAGACAGAGTTTTAATTTTGGAGGCTTTCGCTACATAATTTTCATCCAAGGTTTGACGCTGCGCCGGCCGAGCTGGCCGATGCTCTGTTGGCCATTGCAGTTTTCTGCTGCGAGGTCCCAAGGAATGCACCGTTTCCCTTTTAGCTCACACAACTGGCCTTGTGCACCTAGGCAGCCGGTCAAGCAGCCTTCCTGACCCTGCACTGGAAGCGCACGGGGGCTTGGGCTTTATGTGGATTGTGAATTCGATTGTGAATTCACTGTTGTCTTTATCTTTTAGACTTGTGCATCACTTATCCGCTTTCGGTGGCAAGTCTAGTGGAGTGTGACTCAGCTAAATGCCGTTTGATCTGATTTTATGAGCCCTGACGGTCAGTCTTCCCTAACCGAATTGACGTATACAAATCTGAATTGTTTTTGCTGCTTCCGCCTCAGGCCCTGGCATCCTCGCGTGTTCCTGGCGGCCAAAGTGCCTCTGAGGGCCCAGGCATGGCCGCACTTTCCCTTTCGGCTCTACACAGATCCCCAGCAGATCTCTTCTCTTTTGTAGGCTTCATTTATGTTCCAACTTGCCCTGGGCCCAGAAGTTGCGAACTTGAGACGAGGCAAGTTGTCCAAGGGGAACGCCCTGGACATGGCACTCGCGTGGCTTTGCACGAGCCCTCATGTGTAGCTTTGTGGCGGCATGTTCTACATGTTGCGTAGGCGGTTGACTGACAGGGCCACAACCGTGTAGGCGTCCGTAGGCATTTCGCGGAGGCTCGTGTTGTGGAGGTTCGCGTAGGCAGTCGCGTACACGCCATTTTCATAGGTTGTCATGTCATGTGGCATATGCTTTTATGAAGGGCTGAATGATGTGAAGAATTGTTGTGGGAGAATCTGATGTCTTGCGAAGCCCTGTGTGTCTAACAAGTATACCGTTTCCCAAATTCAAAAGTCAGGAAATGTGTAGAGACGCGTTGTTGCGTAGGCGTGTATGCAGGCGTCCAGTCAACTTGGTCTCGCTTAGGCTTTTGTTTCAGTGGGAGTGGCCGATTTTGGCGAAGGCGGCGTAGGCGTGGCGGAGGCATGACGGAAGCCAGCAAAAAATGATTCCTTAGTTGGTGTATCCCATACTCACGGGCCCATCAGAAAGATTTGATAATGTAGTTGGCGCTTGCTCATACCATCCGAGACATGAATGTTAAGTACAGCCCGGAACACAAACCTGTGGCACACCATCTACAAGCTCAGAAACCCATTCACATCAAAGTAGCATGTGTGCAACTCCTCCAAATCACAAATTTTCAGCTAACTCCTTGAAACCAGACCTGCAGCATACATCAGCACACTAGTGCACACTCCAAAACCCATTCGTGAAAATGGTAAGCCGACTAAACTTGAGCCCAACCCTTGTCCACATTGCGAACAAGCTTAATTTGAGCCTATCACAGAGACAAGGCATTTTCCATCGCACCGCACTGCCAAGTTTACGCCTTTGGAAGTTTGCAGCTGACAGCTTGCTGAGTCCATTTGTCTAATCCGCGCAGGAAACCCAGCAACCTCAAACGAATATTAGAACAACTAACGACTCTTAACCACGCAGACAAGGTACACGAGGCTCTCAAACACATTCTCCCGCACTGTCCTGCGGTCTCGAGTCTGCTGCGCAGTTTAAGCGTGAAGTTACGGCCGCAAAGCCTTGAAGCCGCAAGGCGCCTGAGCTGTCTGGCGATGTACTCGTGAAGTGCCTCAGGCGAGTGTTTTCAAGGAGTCCAATGGCGCGAGAAATCAGATGCTCTCGAAGAAAGGTAAACCACCCATGAAACATCACACATGCTTTTGTTTCCATCTCTTGCAGCCTTCAAGCATCCAGTTTTTGCTTGCCTCTATCACACAAGGTTTGCGCAGCTCCGTGAGTTTTGGCGGATTGCCACTGGCTCAAGAGCTTGGAGCCCTTGCGACACGCTTCTCTGGTTCCTCTTGCGTACCTGTTGCTGCGATGGCGCCTTGCTTGCAACCGCTGCAGTGTCAGTGTGTCATGTTTGACGGCATCCACCCGCGCGTTGCAAGGTGTGGTAGTGTGGTACTCGTGCAATGCCCGTCCAGTGGAACACCTGGCTCTGAGGCACAGCCTCACTACTTCTTCATCCAGAACCCCGATGGCAGCCGCACCCAGCACTTTGGCGTGCCACCTTCAGAGTACCAGCAGGCGGGGGAAGAGGCAAAGGCAGGCACAGCGGGACACTTGGCGATGCTGTTTCCTTTGTGATAGGTTGATTGAATGAGAAAGAGGGAGAGAGGGAGAGAGGGAGGAGAGGGAGGAGAGGGAGGAGAGGGAGGAGAGGGAGAGAGGGAGGAGGGGGAGGAGGGGGAGGAGGGGGAGGAGAGGGAGGAGAGGGAGGAGAGGGAGGAGAGGGAGGAGAGGGAGGAGAGGGAGGCGAGGCAGGCGAGGGAGGAGAGGGAGGCGAGGGCGGCGAGGGAGGCGAGGCAGGCGAGGGAGGAGAGCGAGGAGAGGAGAGGAGATGGAGGCGAGGCGAGGGAGGAGGAGAGGGAGGAGAGGGAGGAGAGGGAGGAGAGGGAGGAGAGGGAGGAGAGGGAGGAGAGGGAGGAGAGGGAGGAGAGGGAGGAGAGGGAGGAGAGGGAGGAGAGGGAGGAGGGGGAGAGAGGGAGGAGAGGGAGGAGAGGGAGGAGAGGGAGGAGAGGGAGGAGAGGGAGGAGAGGGAGGAGAGGGAGCTGAGGGAGCTGAGGGAGGAGAGGGAGGAGAGGGAGGAGAGGGAGGAGAGGGAGGAGAGGGAGGAGAGGGAGGAGAGGGAGGAGAGGGAGGATAGGGAGCTGAGGGAGGAGAGGGAGGAGAGGGAGGAGAGGGAGGAGAGGGAGAGAGGGAGTTAAGTAGCGGATTGAGACGCCTTGGTAGATCATGAATTCTGGCCACACATGAACAGCCTTTTGGACCTGCGTCTTCTGTTCACAACAGCCGCAAAGTCGGCCGATGGGCATTGATGGTCGCTCACCAGACTGACTGGAGATCCAGGCTAGGATTAATTCAGCAATTGTTTACACTCGCGCTTCCAACATTATTCAGTCTCCACTTCCGACCTGGCCGTTGGACTCAGACTGGAGGTCTCCAGCGCGCCCATGAACATGCAGCAGCCGATGCAGCCCATGCAGCAGTACGGCGGGTGCTTCGGATTGCAAAGGGCGGGTCTGGAGGGAACTTCTTGCCTGTGCGTTGCGAGTTTGGGCGTGCGCGCCGATATTCGGGGCATGTCTTCTGGACTGCTTGGCCAGACTATCGCCCTGTGTTTTCTCCACCTTGGGGGGCTTATGCTGACAACCGCACTGGATCGAAAGTCCCCCGATTATTGCTTTGAGTCTGACACCTGAGCCAGAATTGAATTCGGGGGAGGCCGCAGGCACTTTTTGTTGGCAGTGGGAATCCTGGGGTCAGTTGCGTTGAGCTTGATAGGGTTTTGGGCCAAGTGAAGCCAAGCTTAAAGCCTGCCTGCCTCAAGGTATGCTGGCTCTCCTTCTCCTTATGGAGGCGCCTTTGGCATGGAAGGATGGGACTATAAAGCTGAGAGAGGGAGGTTTTCCATTGCCGCGACCTTTGACATGTAGGTGTTTCCAAAGCCCGGGCCATGCGGCAAGGCATGATCGGGTTATTTGCTCCCAGCTTGCATTTGAAAAGACCCTTTGCTTCCAGGCAAACACACACATGTACTTCATGCCCGGTTTGCGAACTGCTGCACCTTTCTTTGAGGTGCTCCCGCAATGGCTGCTGCTCCCTATGGCAGCTACCCTCAAGGCAGGGGCAGGATGACGGTTTGGAAGGTTTGTGCAAGGTTGCTTGTTTTGTGCCAAGCTTGGGATGCATGCAGATACACGTACTGTCTTGTGATGCTTGCAGCGGTAAGTGCTACATCCACTGGCTTCTGACATTGGTTGGTCTCAGACTTTGCCTAGGTATTTAATAGATATTCTATAATCAAACGTGTATACGTAAGCATACGATTTTTTTCATTCTCTCCATTCGCTGTCCCCGGAACAATTTGGATGGAGAGGCATGAGGGGAGACTGCTTCTTGACCCACCGTCATCTCGCCATGCCTTCTGAGTGCGCGCCAGGCGGTTTGCCACAGGCACAGTCCATGGTGGCCACCCCGCAGATGCAATTCGGACAGCTGGGGTCCCAATTGCTGACTTGCTCCGAGACTGCGACGCGCTTGTAGTCTTTGAGGCGTCAGACCTTATTCTTTTCCTTTTTGTTTGCGATCCAAGGCCAGCAGCCACGGTTGGCACAGGAATGCTTGGTGCAAGTCCTGAGAAGGCGTCGGCGCCGGCACCCGTCAAAGCGCAGGGGCGCCCAGCATGGGTTAGCTGGTGCCTTGTGCAAACGCATTGGGAATGCTTGAGTTTGTTGGGACAAGACGGCAACAAATCAGATCAGAAGATGAGCTTTCTGTTTCCCACAACAGCGCGAAGCAAGGTCAGGAGGGTGAATGACTCATGCAACAGACAAGCGAGGCACATCAAGCAACATGCGGAGACGCTTGAGATGTTGATTCACAGAATGTGAAAGTTGCTTGCGCGCTTGTTCTTGTTATACGTAATGATGAACTTGCAGCACTTTCGACAGAAACAAGATAGAAAGAAATGCCAACACGTGGCAAAAAGAGACAATGCACATAGATTCAGAAGACTGCCGAGTGATACAAAGTACACGCACCTGATCACCAGATACTGCATGCAGGCACAGAGGCCATCCGCGGTGAACAAACCACAGTGGAAGAGTCCGCAGAAGCTACGGGTGAGGGGGCCCTTCCACAGAGGGCACTTCCCTGCATTCCGGAGATTGGATGGCACCTGGCGTTTGAGCCGGTAACACGGAGCCTGATTCAGCCACAGGCTGAGGTTTCGATTGTTCAGTCCAGCTCAGAAACTGCAGTGCCAGGGATTCGGCACAAAGCACGGCCAGCCAACGTGACAAAGTGCCGCTCTCCAGAACCGTAACTTGCAGAATTCGATCACGGCAACATTTCCAGGTTGCATAGACTTGCGCCATAGAATTCCATCGTCTTACAGCGCGCTACGCTGCATTTGTTGTGTGTGCTTTTTGTTGTTGTGATTTGCAAACGCATCCAAGGAGCAGCAGCATGGCCAAGGCCCGCGTTGGGAGGGGGATCTGCGAGTAACAAGCAACACAATGAAGAGACGAATCGAGCGATGTCTTCCACATCACCGGAGAGGCTTTCACGAAAGTGGAGGAGTGACGCTCATGGAACATGTTCTCCCTGTACGCTTAAAGATGGGCATGTTTCTTGGTAGCTGCTGCCATCACTAGAGGTTGAGAGGTTCAATCCAAAGGCACCCACCGCTCAGTCGAAGCCTGTCAAAGCACGCAGCATTGTATCACTGCGGCCAGAAGAAGAGCAAGAAGGCCAAGAAGGGCAGCTGGTGCTGCTAGAGGCAAGTTGAGCCGCCAGCTCACAAGCGCGCAACCTTTGGCAACTGGAATTCTGAACTTGCAAAGCTTTGCGTGGGCCACACACACAAACCCCTACCTGTACACGACACACATTACCTGCCCGCAGGGCTGCGCTTCCGTCTCCTTTGTGTTTATGTGAGCACATAAGTGCACCCCCCCCCCCCCCGCCCCCAACAAGCACAGTGCGGCTCCGAGCGCATGCACGCCAGGTCATTCAGGAGTTGCGAATGAGACCAGCATCAGAGGCGAGGCGCATGCAGACTTACTCCAAGCATTGTTTCGTCAAGAGCCTTTGGAGGGCTTTGCGTTCCAATCGGCACTAAGCCGGCCCGTCGTTATTCAAGGGTTGACAGGCATGAATGCCCAGCCGACAGCGCTGCGTCCTGCGCAGGTGGACAGCAAAGTGAAAGCATTTTGGACATTTGCGGAAGGGCCAGACGTTGATTGCAGTGCCAGGCTCGCAAGGCGTTGCAAGGTGCCATGTTTGTCCCTCGTTATTCGCTTAGTTTGGAGCCCTCCGCTCTGTCATGCTTTGGACTCGTGGCATAGTTTTCCAGCTCGAGTCGGCCACGGGGATATTGCGGCTCGACTGAATGCACTGACGTGGCGGGTTAGGAAGCTGGGCAATCTTGGCCCTCAGAAGAACCCTCATCCAAAGATTTTTGAGAATTCTATACTTTATCCAGCTTCGTGACCGGCAAGGTCTTTATCGCATCAATTCACCACGAGCATCTCGCTCGTGGCCTTTTGCTATCGGCTAGGAAACGCACAGCAGCCAATCACGGCATCCGAAGAAAAGGGCACGACCTATTTTGCGCCTCCACAGCAAGAGAGAGTCGGTTCGGTTCCCTGCTTTCAGGGCCTATGCTTTACATCTGTCTGAGCCATCAGAGGATGGCCAGGCGCTCAGCCCAGATTGACCTCAAGCTGCGCTTGAGACTACCGTGATCATTGTGAGGAAAGCAGCAATAGCGCTTGCTAGCCGCACATGTCATGCGCACTTGCAGCTCCTCCACACGCGTTCTGGATCATCATCCTTTCAAGGTTGTCGGATTGCATCAGCTTCCTTTTGAACCTTCAGCAATAACAGATCCTGCATGAGTTCAGGCGAGCTGCTCCTGGAGTCTCCCGGCGCGGCAGCAGAGGTCCCACTGAGGGATTTGATGAGGTGAGGTAGCCATGATTGCTTTGGGATGTCGCTAGGAGGATCTGATCCCCAGCCTGGTGCAGCCTCTTCTGGCTCGTTTGGACGAGCACTTTGGCAGCGAATGTAGGAAGGCGTATCTTCCCGATGCAAGTACCTAAGTACGAAGCTGACCAAGCCCAGGGCTTTCAACGAGGCCTGCAGGCAGCGATTTCGAAGCGCGAGCTCTTTTCGAAGCAATTTCTGGCACTTTGTGCTGTTCTTTGACGTTGTGAGAGGGGAATCTATTTCAGACGTGGAGCTCTGGTTCTGACTCAGGATATCCGCGCACTCCGTGGTGCGCGCTCTCCATAGCCTCTGTTGCCTTCAGGAGCTTTTCTTCATTTGCTTGGTTGCTGTGTGGGCCACTGTTGGGCAGTAGACGGACACTTGCCAGTGGTGCGTTGCCGTAGAGGCTTGTGGACAAGTGCCAGGGCAGACTCCGTTCCTACAGAGCAAAGCAGTTTACACCGTTCACACCCTCCGCCGTTCACTATTTTGTTTACATTGCAGTATGCCAGTGCTCAATGAGCATCCGGCCAGGAGCAGAAGCTTTTGCCGGAAGGACCATGGGCTGCGGTGACTTGCCATGGCTTGCTACGGGCTGGGCTAATGCATCGCTTGGCAAACTACATGTTTTCCAAGGCGGCGTGTTCGGCGGCCATGTTCTGTGGCAAGGGACGCAGTAGGACATGGCTCCCAGGTTTATATTCTGCGCATGAGACCCAGCCAATAGATCGTTGTGCGATTGCTCAACCGATTGCTGCCATTGACAGCACGCACACACACACACCAAAGAAAGACACAACTCGCAGCTGTTGGGTCATTTTTTGACTTGGTCTGGGCCTGTGGCTCGCAGCGTGCTGGGGCGTGGCGAACGTCCCAGATTTTGATCTTCATGGAGGAGCGGGCATGTCCAGACTCTGGCTGATTGCAGGGAGGATGCTGTGTACATTGGGTATCATGAAAAGCTATGAAATCAGTGATGTGATTGGCTCACGTGTGTTTCGCTGAATGCCGCTCACCATCTTGGATGCACACATTCAGGGTGCATTGCCTGGTGTCAGGAGGCTTTGCGGCTGCTATCGCTGCCCACTGCTAGTGCCTGAGAGTTCTGACAGACACGTGTTCACCGATTGGCACCTCTGCTGGGAAAGCTTTTGAGGGTGAAATCATTGGTAGTCGGGGCGCAGCTTAGCTCCAAAGTGGATGTTGGTTGCAGTCGGGCAGTAGTCGGCAGCTTTGACATTGGCCCTAGTCAGATGGGATAAGCCGCTCGTAATTGACGAGTCTTGATGCATCTTGCCCGAGGTCTGGGATGGTGGCAAGAAGGACAAGTTGGATTGGAAGTGCCTGGTCAAGCTGAGCAGGTGCGAACCCGGGGCTGTCCAGTTGCTGTTCTCAGTGGCAGAAGCAAAAAAAGTGGTAGGCTTCCACCCTTGCAGAAAGAGTCTTTCATAGCATGGGCAGTTTTTATGCGTTTGGAAGTTGCGCCGGTAATGCGACTTTGTATTCTTCATTCCCTTTGACAATGTGCCATCACTGTGACCAATGCACCAGCTCCACCACCCGCAGACTGCTAGAGCAAGGGCTGTTCAGTGGAAAAAGAGTCTCGCCCTTATCTCTCTCCCAATCACCCAACTCTTTCCAATGAACATGTTGGCGATTAAAGGGAGAGATAGGTGTGGGGAGGATGCTTGTGGCCAAGTCTCTTCGCTCTTGTACACCATCCCATCCTTCATAACACCTTCCCTCCTTACCAACCGTCCCAACGGCTAGATCCAGAGTCTTAACGGTTAAACGGCCTGGCCTCTCTCTCTCTCTAAGCCTCTCTCCTATTCCAGAAGTTACCTCCGCAATTACACGGTCGTAAAGGGAAACGAGAAGAGTGAGTGCAGGCCTGGCTGGTGGTTGGTCCACGTCTGGCTCTACCTGGCCCCCACAGGCATGGCCTAGCTCGCCTCGCATTTCAATCTTTGACCATGTTGCAAGATGCACAGGATGTGCATCGCATGATTCATTGTCACCAATCCCTTATTCGATCATGTGGGAATCATCACAATTCCTGGAACCAGGTCAAAAGTACCACCTGCTGTCGACCTTGTCGTGACCTTATTTGACTGGTCCTAGTGCCATCCCACATGAAGCTGGCTCACAGAGAAAAGGGCGCCAAGGGAAATGAGAAGGTCCACGAGTTGCGGATACTTGAGAACATTTGAGAACATTTGAGAACATTTGAGAACATTTGAGAACATTTGAGAACATATGTGCGACCCTTGCAGGTCCTTTTGGCTGGGTCTCGCTTATGTGCTCTTTCCGCTGAACCTTCTCGTCTATGGCCTGAATGCCTGGGCTCTTAGCCTTTTTTTGCAGCTTAGTGAGTTGAGCCAATGCTCTCTGTGATGAACACGTGTACCGTCCCATATATTTTAACGCCTCCGGCTCAGGCCGCCGACATTACAGGCCTGCTTTCTTATTTGCGTCCCTTTGGAATTGTCCCCTTGCCCCCTTCCCCTCTGAGATTTTTGCCCCCCTTTCTTTGTTGAGATCCATTCCCCCTTTCCGCCCTAAGGCCTTTTCTCCCTCTGATTTTTTCCCTTTTCCTCCCTAAGATGTTTTCCCCCCTCTCCCTGTTGAGATCCTTTCCCCCCTTTCCCCCCTAAGGCCTTTTCCCCCCTGAGATCTTCTCCCTTTTCCTCCCTTTCCCCCACTTTCCCCCCTACGGCCTTTTCCTCCCTGGGATCTTTTCCCTTTCCTCCCTGAGATCTTTCCCCCCCTTTCCCTGTTGAGATCCTTTCCCCCCTTTCCCCCCTACGGCCTTTCCCCCCGCTGAGATCTTCTCCCTATTCCTCCTTAAGATCCTTTGCCCCCTTTCCCTGTTGAGATCCTTTCCCCCCTTCCCTTTAAGGCCTTTCCAGATCTTCTCCCTTTTCCTTCCTAAGATTGTTTCCCCCCTTTCCCTGTTGAGATCCTTCCCACCCTTTCCCCCCTCAGGCCTTTCCCCCCCTGAGAGCTTCTCCCTTTTCCTTCCTTAGATCTTTCCCCCCTTTCCCTGTTGGCCTTTTTTCCCCCAGATCTTCTCCCTTTCCTCCCTAAGATCTTTTCCACCCCTTTCCCTGTTGAGAGGCCTTTCCTTTCCCTTTTCTCCCCTATCTTTCCCCCCCCTTTCCCTGCTCAGATCCTTTCCCCCCTTTCCCCTGTTGAGATCCATTCCCCCTTTCCCCCCTAAGGCCCTTTCTCCCTCTGAGTTTTTCCCTTTTCCTCCCTACGATGTTTTCCCCCCTCTCCCTGTTGAGATCCTTTCCCTCCTTTCCCCCCTAAGGCCTTTTTTCCCCCCGCGATCTTCCCCCTTTTCCTTCCTAAGAACTTTTCCCCCATTTCCTTGTTGAGATCCTTTCCCGCCCTTTCCCCCCTAAGGCGTTTTCCCCCCCAAGATCTTCTCCCTTTTCCTCCCTAAGATCCTTTGCCCCCTTTCCCTGTTGAGATCCTTCCCCCCTTTCCCCCCTAAGGCCTTGCCCCCCCTGAGATCTTCTCCCTTGTCCTCCCCAAGATCTTTTCCCTTGGTTGAGATCCTTTCCCCCCTAAGGCCCTTTCTCCCTCTGAGTTTTTCCCTTTTCCTCCCTACGATGTTTCCCCCCTCTCCCTGTTGAGATCCTTTCCCCCCTTCCCTTTAAGGCCTTTCCAGATCTTCTCCCTTTTCCTTCCTAAGATTGTTTCCCCCCCTTTCCCTGTTGAGATCCTTCCCACCCTTTCCCTTCCAAGGCCTTTCCCCCCCTGAGAGCTTCTCCCTTTTCCTTCCTTAGATCTTTTCCCCCCTTTCCCTGTTGGCCTTTTTTCCACAGATCTTCTGCCTTTCCTCCCTCAGATCTTTTCCACCCCTTTCCCTGTTGAGATCATTTATTTCCCCCCTTTTCCTTCTAAGGCCTTTTCCCACCCTCAGTTCTTCTCCCTTTTCCTCCCAAAGATCTTCCCCCCCCTTTCCTCCCTAAGTCCTTTTCCCTTGAGATCTTCTCCCTTTTCCTCCCCTAAGATCTTTTGCCACCTTTCCCTGTTGAGAGCCTTTCCCCCCTTTCCCCCCTAAGGCCTTTTTTTCTCCCCCCTTTCCTTGTTGAGATCCTTTCCCCCCCTTTCTCCCCTAAGGCCTTTTCCCCCCAAGATCTTCTCCCTTTTCCTCCCTAAGATGTGTCCCCCCCTTTCCCTGTTGAGAACCCTTCCCCCCTTTCCCCCCTAAGGCCTTCTCCCTTTGCCTCCCCAAGATCTTTTCCCCCGGTTGAGATCCTTTCCCCCTTTCCCCTCGAGATCTTCTCCCTTTTCCTCCCTAGGATCTTTTCTCCCTGTCCCTGTTGAGATCCTTTCCCCCCCTTTCCCCCCTAAGGCCTTTCCCCCCCTGAGATCTTCTCCCTTTTCCTCCCTAAGATCATTTGCCCCCTTTCCGTGTTGAGATCCTTTCCCCCTTTCCCCCCTAAGGCCTTTCCCCCCCTGCGATCTTAAGGCCTTTTCCCCCCAATCCTTTCCCCCCCTTTCCCCCCCCAAGGCCTTTTCCCCCCCCTGAGATCATATCCCTTTTCCTCCTTTATCTCCCTAAGATGTTTTCCCGCCATTCCCTGTTGAAATCCTTTCCCCCCCTTTCCCCCCTAAGGCCTTTCCCCCCTGAGATCTTCTCCCTTTTCCTCCCTAAGAGCTTTTCCCACCTTTCTTTATTGAGATCCTTTCCCCCCTGTCCCCCCTAAGGCCTTTTCGCACCCTGAGTTCGTCTCCCGTTGCCTCCCTAAGATCTTTTCCCCCCTTTCCCGCTTAAGATCCTTTCCCCCGTTTCCCCCCTAAGGCCTTTTCCCCCCAAGATCTCCACCCTTCTCTCCCCAAAGTCTTGTTCCCCCTTTCCCGTTTGAGATCCTGTCCCCCCATTGCCCCTTAGGGCCTATTCCCCCCGAGAAAGATTTCCTTTTTCTTCCCAAAGATCTTTTCCCCCCTTTCCCCCTTAAGGCATTTTTTCTTCAGATCTTCTCCCTTTCCTCCCTGAGATCTTTCCCCCCCTTTCGCTGTTGAGATCCTTTCCCCCTTTCCCCCCTTCATTTCCTTCACCAGCATGGGCAACATCCCCAGCATCACTTGCATCGTCCGCATCCTTGGCAGGCGCTGATGCGGATGATGCAGGTGATGCTGGCGATGTGCCGCTGGAGCCGACAGCGCACCCGGGGGGAATCGAACGCCCCAATGTTTTTGACAAACTGAGTTGCCGCACAATGAACAGATTTAGTGAAGCGTCTTCGAATCACCGCGTGGTACGTGGCCCCCCCCCCCCCGCAATAGTCTGAAATGGTGGGTAACAGGTAAAGAGGTAAGGAGCATTTTTTTTTATGTCCAACACGCCGTCTGTTGTCGGCGGATTTCCATGCGAAAGAGGGTTGCCTAGATGGTGAACCCGGAATTGCAGTTGGCTCCTTTGTGCCAGGACTACACAGACGTTGATTTGGATGCGAAGAACGACCGCACCTTGGCAACTGCGCTGTCACACGACCTCTTGCAAGGAGGCATTCAATCCTCACTCTTGCAGGAACACTTTCAATTCGCTAGATTTGTCTTTGGACAGGCTGCAGCAACTCTTATAATGTTGCTTTGGCATGCGAACAGCTTGACATTCTTCGCAGACAGCTTTCTTCTCGCGGCCGAGGCAAGGGCAACTTTATGTACGGCGCCAAATGCAGTGCTGAGCAGCTGCGGGACACCAACACGTCCAACTGTTTTATGTGAGATTTGTGTTCCTGGCAGGACTTGCCAAGGATTATCGTCATCCTGAACGTCCTGCCCATTGTTGTAGGGCACCTGGATCATGATACCCTGGCACGGCAAGCCAAGAAGGCCTTTGGCAGGCACTTCCATAGCGGGCCGTGCAGCTGAGGTGCTGGCAGTCGTGAGCGGTCAGTGGCTAGCTCTCTCCATTTGGCTGCCAGTTTGCTTTGCCGTCACGTGGCAGCAGTTGAGCAGCTGTGGACGTCTTGCTGGATGCTGCCATTCACTGCGCACACCACCACACCAGAAGGCTTGCGCTCTGCACAGCTGAAGGTGAAGTAAGTGGCATCATACATTCATTCCAATGCACACGCTTCAAGATGGCAAAGGGTGGGTTGCACAGAATCCTGGTGCAAAAGCGGAGTCTGGCCTAGGGTTTCAACCACACAAATGCAGAAGCTTAGTGTGGGGCATTGTTCGGGTCAACGGGTAGGCTCCAGACATCGTTTTCGAGCCGATTTTAGACCTCTATGCAGACTCAGGTCAACATGGCATACAACCTGGAGCCCTTGCGACTTAGCTCCAAGGGCCCGTTTGAGCTGCCAAAGACTCAGATATGAGTGGCACTCGGCTTGCTACGCGCCAGGTTTGAAGCAGAGCTTTGCGAGCTCAAAGCGAGCATGTCTCTGCACCGAGGCCATGCGTGGTCTTTGGCTTCGCAGGTGTCACTGCGTTAGCAAGCATTGTCGGCCTCTTAGCAATTGGCAGTTCAACCGGTTTGCAAGCTGGACTGCGCAAGGTGAACAACCTTGCCTGGGCGCCCTTTGGCTACTGGGCCCACATGAGCTGCCTAGCGCCTTGGTGCCAAAGGCTGGAGGAGCAATTTGGTTTGCGTCAGCCTGGGCTTGTTTTTTCCTTGCTGCAAGTGCGCTATTCCAAGGGACAAGTCAGCTCTGCAGACACCAGAGCGGTGTCACACTTCGAGCGCGCACGCACATTGTGACGAGTTGGGACCTGCCTGCGGCTTGTGCACTCCTTCACCCTACCCAGGTGCTGCGAACGCAAATTTGGAGCGGGCTGGGCGTGGGGCGGTTTGACGTGAACACCTTGGGCGGATTTCCACCTAAGGGCTCCCAAGATTGCCAAGCTGCTTGGCCAATTCGAGTGTGGTTTGGCCGTTGTAACCCTTCGGCCAGATAATAGTTGCAGCTTGGTTGATCCTGAAGGACAGAGTTCCTGGACTATGACCCGGACTCTGCGTGTGGCCGGCGGACAACCTCCACACTGCTGGGCAAGGTCAGGGACACGCCTTGAATACGCTGTGTATAGCTCATGCTTTGCTGATGCAGCACAAAGGTATTTGCTTTTGAGTTGGTGCATGTTGTCCTAGGAATACTTGTTGTTCCAGACAAATAGGAGAAGCAGCTGAGTTTGGAGCTTTGATCCAAACTGCACACCTCCTATGGCAATACCCAGCATAATCCTTCCAACCTACTGTTGCAAACGCTGAGGTCAGGGTAGCATTTTCTGTAGGTTGCTCAAGGGTTTTGCCTCTCGTATATTGTAATTATTGACAGGGGTAGATGCAACGGGCCGCAAAGCGCCAATCGACGAACACGTCCCAAGCCATCCTCGAGCCTCAGGACCTCTCAAAGGCATTGGCAACTGAGCTGCAAGGAGTCTGACCAATGCCAGAGGTTCCACGTGCTTCCTTGGAAAAACACTCGGGGCGACCAACGAAGCCAAATGTTTCTCAAGCGTTTGATGTTGCTTGGGCACTTTGAGGTTGTAGCCCTGTTGGCGCTCGAGGGCCTGGTCACTTGGTATTTCTTTGAGGAGTCTTGGCAGCAGGGGCATGTCCATGAAGCCGAAGGCTGGCGAATCCGGGAGGGTTGATACTCTTTGCACTGTTCAGTATGTGTTTACGCTGTCCAAGGCTAGCTGCAGTTGCAAACTTGACGGTCGCCGCATGTTTTTCGACTTCTGCGAAAGGGCTAAGCTTTGAGAAGGGCAGACCAGACCTTCCTTGTGCTGAGCCAAGGATTTCTTGATGAGGCTCTTTAGCATCTCAGGCGCGCATGTTCTCTGTTCGATTGCGTTCGACTTGCCATGCTGATTTGTGATGCCCCTCGCGGTTCTCTGGCACCTGCACGTTTGCCAGGAATGGTGGCCTTTGTTGCCTTGGAGATCATTAGAGGCACGGATGACAAGGCAAGGCTATGCTGCACTTGGATGGACTACGCTTTGGATTGTGAGCTGCCAATGGCTCAGCTTTGAATGGCCTTTGAAGTTTTGACTTTGTTCCTGCTATTCCGGCCTGGGCAGTGGTGATAGAACTTGCGGTGAGCACGCAACAATCAAGCAACTTAAAAGGTCGTCATAACATCGGATTAATACGCTCCAGACCAGCAATTCTGACGCTGACTGATATGCGTATCCTTTTTGGCTGCAGCTGCCACTTTCAAGAGCTGGCACGAAGTTGAAGCAAGTTGCTGCTGCAGCCGTATAAGCTTTGTTGCTCCAAAACTCAATGACAGGGGTTGCGCACGTGCCGCAGCTGACTCTCCAAAGCAAAACAACTGCTGCCGGACCCAAGCTGGAGCTAGTTTGAGACTGGCGAGAGCGCGCACTCGCCAAAGCCATGGCGTCATTTCCGGCTCGTGCCTATGTGCAGACCTTTGATGAGGTGCCTTTGCAATGGTTGAAGTCATGTCCTTGCAAGTCCCCAACTCATTTGTCTTGCAGCATTAACGTGTTGACATATTTCTGGTGACAACTTTCAGAGTTGGCTCATATCGGAGCCAAGTTCTTGTTTGTAACGGAGAAACGCAGGCCTTGGCTGGCTTGGCTCACACTTTCAAGATATGCCTTGATTTTTGCTTTAAAGGCAATGCACAGCTCAGACAAAACACAAGCACTCCCAACTGCGTTGCATTTTGGTATAGTCCACAAGAAAGTCAAGAGAGTGAGTTCAATCAATTTTGGAAGAAGGGCTCCTGGACAAGCCATACGCTTGGAAGGTACCTCAGGACTACCAGCCAGTGGTGGAAGAGCTGAAAAGCCGTGGAGTGGAGGTGCACTTGCGGACCACGGAAAGCATGCGCCTTGAGTGTATTTCGGAGGGGATACGATGAGACACTGCCCTGTGGGGGACGTAGTTGTCAAGCTTCTTGCATGAAAGGTGTGACCGTTGATGCTGCTGCAAAACATTGATGTCTGGTATAAACAATGAAGGTTTCCTTTGTGTACTCAGGCTGTTCCTTTGTCCGCGGATTTGGCCTAACCAGGAGAAACAGGTGTACTCTCAAGGCATGGGGGCAGCCAAGGTGGATTGTGCTTTGTTGCCCAATAGCTAGTAGAGGTGCCGAGCATCCAACTGTTTTTTGACTATGGGACATGTGCTTCAAAAGCGAAAAGTCAACTTCTCGCCCTTGGATGCCTTTCTCAACATGCCTTCGAAGTTCCACAGGTTGGCCAAGCCCTTCCCCTTGACGAAGGATGACTTGGTGGTGGGAGACTTCGACTGGACGCGGATTGCGCCGACAGCCTAGAAACTTTGGAGCTTGGGTTTGCCACCGAAGGGCTTATGTTTCTCATCGTGAGCAGTGCCTGGTAAGGGGTGAAGGTTTGAGGTTGGTGCCTCACCGAGGCTGAAGCAGCTTGGCTGTCCCATGCCGGCACCGCCCGACTACCCAAAGTGCCTGGAACACTTGCTGCATCGGAAGAGCCTTGTCTAGCCACAGGGTCTGGAATTGGCAAGAACGCTGAGATGTGAACTTGACCGCACAATGGCTTCATCCAGGCCAGCGGTCCCTGGGCATGCTCAAAAGTCAGTGCCAAGTAAACTAACCGTGAAATGGATGCAAATCAGAGATGTTGACATGTGACAAGCATGTACCAGTTGGCAGGATGCAGAGCCCAACAACTCTTGCGGTTCCAAAGTTGGTGGTGGTTTGCTTTACATATGGCCAATATGTTGCTAGTGACTGTTGCGTATCCTGCAGCCGCATCCATCAAGCTTTTTCTGCGCAGTCAGATCGCCTCCTGTCCCGTCAGTTGCAGACATGGCTCCCATGAAGGCAACCAAGACCATGAAGGCGATGAAGGCCGCCAAGGCTATGACCAAGGGAGGCATCGTGAGTGAGCTGGCCACGGCTACAGACATGAAGAAGTCTGATGTGTCGCAGCTTCTTGGACAGCTCTCTGAGATCGGAGCGAAGGAGGTAAAGGCGACCGGCAAGTTCGTGATCCCGGGGCTTTGCATGATCAAGACGCGCAAGAAGCCAGCCACAAAGGCGGGCAAGCGGATGATGTTTCTCGATCTGCCTAGCACAAGCTTTTTGGGTGTTTCCATGACCTTGTAAGCCTTTCTTTTCGACAGGAGATACACAACAAGTGAACGGTTTTCGCCCTTGTCCGTTGGCCCAGGTTCGGCAAAGAGGTGGCCATCAAGGCTCAGCCTGCGAAAACGGTTGTCAAGGCATTCGCAGTTTCAGCTCTGAAGAAGCAGATGTAAAACGTTCTGGCTGCGAGCTGCGTCTACGGTGACCGGGTGCTGATCGATGGGGTTTGGCGAACAGCGCCTGGGGGTAGGCAGAACTTGATGCGCTGCATGGTTGTTTCCATCACAACCATGTCACGCCACAATTTGCGGTTTCCAAGTTGTACATCGTACCTGGAGCCATCAGAAGAAGAAAGCAGGCGCGACCCACTGCGAAGGGGACATGAGAGACACGTGTGGGGAGTTGGGCAGGGGGTGGAGGGTTTGCCGGAATTTTGCGACATATGTTACATATGTTAACTGGATGCAATACTGGATGCTGCATGTCGAACAGTACTTGTGACAGCTTTTGGATATGTTGCAGGAAAAGAGTTTGGAGTAATAAGTGTGGGGCTTTTGCACAGAGCTGTGACTGTAGTGACTGTTGCGTATCCTGCAGCCGCATCCATCAAGCTTTTTCTGCGCAGTCAGATCGCCTCCTGTCCCGTCAGTTGCAGACATGGCTCCCATGAAGGCAACCAAGACCATGAAGGCGATGAAGGCCGCCAAGGCTATGACCAAGGGAGGCATCGTGAGTGAGCTGGCCACGGCTACAGACATGAAGAAGTCTGATGTGTCGCAGCTTCTTGGACAGCTCTCTGAGATCGGAGCGAAGGAGGTAAAGGCGACCGGCAAGTTCGTGATCCCGGGGCTTTGCATGATCAAGACGCGCAAGAAGCCAGCCACAAAGGCGGGCAAGCGGATGATGTTTCTCGATCTGCCTAGCACAAGCTTTTGTGTGTTTCCATGACCTTGTAAGCCTTTCTTTTCGACAGGAGATACACAACAAGTGAACGGTTTTCGCCCTTGTCCGTTGGCCCAGGTTCGGCAAGGAGGTGGCCATCAAGGCTCAGCCTGCGAAAACGGTCGTCAAGGCATTCGCAGTTTCAGCTCTGAAGAAGCAGATGTAAAACTTTCTGGCTGCGAGCTGCGTCTACGGTGACCGGGTGCTGATCGATGGGGTTTGGCGAACAGCGCCTGGGGGTAGGCAGAACTTGATGCGCTGCATGGTTGTTTCCATCACAACCATGTCATGCCACAATTTGCGGTTTCCAAGTTGTACATCGTACCTGGAGCCATCAGAAGAAGAAAGCAGGCGCGACCCACTGCGAAGGGGACATGAGAGACGCGTGTGGGGAGAGTTGGGCAGGGGGTGGAGGGTTTGCCGGAATTTTGCGACATATGTTACATATGTTAACTGGATGCAATACACTGGATGCTGCATGTCGAACAGTACTTGTGACAGCTTTTGGATATGTTGCAGGAAAAGAGTTTGGAGTAATAAGTGTGGGGCTTTTGCAAAGAGCTGTGACTGTAGTGACTGTTGCGTATCCTGCAGCCGCATCCATCAAGCTTTTTCTGCGCAGTCAGATCGCCTCCTGTCCCGTCAGTTGCAGACATGGCTCCCATGAAGGCAACCAAGACCATGAAGGCGATGAAGGCCGCCAAGGCTATGACCAAGGGAGGCATCGTGAGTGAGCTGGCCACGGCTACAGACATGAAGAAGTCTGATGTGTCGCAGCTTCTTGGACAGCTCTCTGAGATCGGAGCGAAGGAGGTAAAGGCGACCGGCAAGTTCGTGATCCCGGGGCTTTGCATGATCAAGACGCGCAAGAAGCCAGCCACAAAGGCGGGCAAGCGGATGATGTTTCTCGATCTGCCTAGCACAAGCTTTTGTGTATTTCCATGACCTTGTAAGCCTTTCTTTTCGACAGGAGATATAAAAACAAGTGAACGGTTTTCGCCCTTGTCCGTTGGCCCAGGTTCGGCAAAGAGGTGGCCATCAAGGCTCAGCCTGCGAAAACGGTTGTCAAGGCATTCGCAGTTTCAGCTCTGAAGAAGCAGATGTAAAACGTTCTGGGTGCAAGCTGCGTCTACGGTGACCGGGTGCTGATCGATGGGGTTTGGCGAACAGTGCCTGGGGGTAGGCAGAACTTGATGCGCTGCATGGTTGTTTCCATCACAACCATGTCATGCCACAATTTGCGGTTTCCAAGTTGTACATCGTACCTGGAGCCATCAGAAGAAGAAAGCAGGCGCGACCCACTGCAAAGGGGACATGAGAGACACGTGTGGGGAGAGTTGGGCAGGGGGTGGAGGGTTTGCCGGAATTTTGCGACATATGTTACATATGTTAACTGGATGCAATACACTGGATGCTGCATGTCGAACAGTACTTGTGACAGCTCTTGGATATGTTGCAGGAAAAGAGTTTGGAGTAATAAGTGTGGGGCTTTTGCAAAGAGCTGTGACTGTAGTGACTGTTGCGTATCCTGCAGCCGCATCCATCAAGCTTTTTTTGCGCAGTCAGATCGCCTCCTCTCCCATGAAGGCAACCAAGACCATGAAGGCGATGAAGGCCGCCAAGGCTATGACCAAGGGAGGCATCGTGAGTGAGCTGGCCACGGCTACAGACATGAAGAAGTCTGATGTGTCGCAGCTTCTTGGACAGCTCTCTGAGATCGGAGCGAAGGAGGTAAAGGCGACCGGCAAGTTCGTGATCCCGGGGCTTTGCATGATCAAGACGCGCAAGAAGCCAGCCACAAAGGCAGGCAAGCGGATGATGTTTCTCGATCTGCCTAGCACAAGCTTTTGTGTATTTCCATGACCTTGTAAGCCTTTCTTTTCGACAGGAGATATAAAAGCAAGTGCACGGATTTCGCCCTTGTCCGTTGGCCCAGGTTCGGCAAGGAGGTGGCCATCAAGGCTCAGCCTGCGAAAACGGTCGTCAAGGCATTCGCAGTTTCAGCTCTGAAGAAGCAGATGTAAAACTTTCTGGCTGCGAGCTGCGTCTACGGTGACCGGGTGCTGATCGATGGGGTTTAGCGAACAGCGCCTGGGGGTAGGCAGAACTTGATGCGCTGCATGGTTGTTTCCATCACAACCATGTCACGCCACAATTTGCGGTTTCCAAGTTGTACATTGTACCTGGAGCCATCAGAAGAAGAAAGCAGGCGCGACCCACTGCGAAGGGGACATGAGAGACACTGGGGAGAGTTGGGCAGGGGGTGGAGGGTTTGCCGGAATTTTGCGACATATGTTACATATGTTAACTGGATGCAATACACTGGATGCTGCATGTCGAACAGTACTTGTGACAGCTTTTGGATATGTTGCAGGAAAAGAGTTTGGAGTAATAAGTGTGGGGCTTTTGCAAAGAGCTGTGACTGTAGTGACTGTTGCGTATCCTGCAGCCGCATCCATCAAGCTTTTTTTGCGCAGTCAGATCGCCTCCTGTCCCGTCAGTTGCAGACATGGCTCCCATGAAGGCAACCAAGACCATGAAGGCGATGAAGGCCGCCAAGGCTATGACCAAGGGAGGCATCGTGAGTGAGCTGGCCACGGCTACAGACATGAAGAAGTCTGATGTGTCGCAGCTTCTTGGACAGCTCTCTGAGATCGGAGCGAAAGAGGTAAAGGCGACCGGGAAGTTCGTGATCCCGGGGCTTTGCATGATCAAGACGCGCAAGAAGCCAGCCACAAAGGCGGGCAAGCGGATGATGTTTCTCGATCTGCCTAGCACAAGCTTTCGTGTGTTTCCATGACCTTGTAAGCCTTTCTTTTCGACAGGAGATATAAAAGCAAGTGCACGGATTTCGCCCTTGTCCGTTGGCCCAGGTTCGGCAAAGAGGTGGCCATCAAGGCTCAGCCTGCGAAAACGGTTGTCAAGGCATTCGCAGTTTCAGCTCTGAAGAAGCAGATGTAAAACTTTCTGGCTGCGAGCTGCGTCTACGGTGACCGGGTGCTGATCGATGGGGTTTGGCGAACAGCGCCTGGGGGTAGGCAGAACTTGATGCGCTGCATGGTTGTTTCCATCACAACCATGTCACGCCACAATTTGCGGTTTCCAAGTTGTACATCGTACCTGGAGCCATCAGAAGAAGAAAGCAGGCGCGACCCACTGCGAAGGGGACATCAGAGACACTGGGGAGAGTTGGGCAGGGGGTGGAGGGTTTGCCGGAATTTTGCGACATATGTTACATATGTTAGCTGGATGCAATACACTGGATGCTGCATGTCGAACAGTACTTGTGACAGCTTTTGGCTATGTTGCAGGAAAATAGCTTGGAGTAATAAGTGTGGGGCTTTTGCAAAGAGCTGTGACTGTAATGACTGTTGCGTATCCTGCAGCCGCATCCATCAAGCTTTTTTTGCGCAGTCAGATCGCCTCCTGTCCCGTCAGTTGCAGACATGGCTCCCATGAAGGCAACCAAGACCATGAAGGCGATGAAGGCCGCCAAGGCTATGACCAAGGGAGGCATCGTGAGTGAGCTGGCCACGGCTACAGACATGAAGAAGTCTGATGTGTCGCAGCTTCTTGGACAGCTCTCTGAGATCGGAGCGAAGGAGGTAAAGGCGACCGGGAAGTTCGTGATCCCGGGGCTTTGCATGATCAAGACGCGCAAGAAGCCAGCCACAAAGGCGGGCAAGCGGATGATGTTTCTCGATCTGCCTAGCACAAGCTTTCGTGTGTTTCCATGACCTTGTAAGCCTTTCTTTTCGACAGGAGATATAAAAGCAAGTGCACGGATTTCGCCCTTGTCCGTTGGCCCAGGTTCGGCAAGGAGGTGGCCATCAAGGCTCAGCCTGCGAAAACGGTCGTCAAGGCATTCGCAGTTTCAGCTCTGAAGAAGCAGATGTAAAACTTTCTGGCTGCGAGCTGCGTCTACGGTGACTGGGTGCTGATCGATGGGGTTTGGCGAACAGTGCCTGGGGGTAGGCAGAACTTGATGCGCTGCATGGTTGTTTCCATCACAACCATGTCATGCCACAATTTGCGGTTTCCAAGTTGTACATTGTACCTGGAGCCATCAGAAGAAGAAAGCAGGTGCGACCCACTGCAAAGGGGACATGAGAGACACGTGTGGGGAGAGTTGGGCAGGGGGTGGAGGGTTTGCTGGAATTTTGCGACATATGTTACATATGTTAACTGGATGCAATACACTGGATGCTGCATGTCGAACAGTACTTGTGACAGCTGTTGGATATGTTGCAGGAAAAGAGTTTGGAGTAATAAGTGTGGGGCTTTTGCAAAGAGCTGTGACTGTAGTGACTGTTGCGTATCCTGCAGCCGCATCCATCAAGCTTCTTCTGCGCAGTCAGATCGCCTCCTGTCCCGTCAGTTGCAGACATGGCTCCCATGAAGGCAACCAAGACCATGAAGGCGATGAAGGCCGCCAAGGCTATGACCAAGGGAGGCATCGTGAGTGAGCTGGCCACGGCTACAGACATGAAGAAGTCTGATGTGTCGCAGCTTCTTGGACAGCTCTCTGAGATCGGAGCGAAGGAGGTAAAGGCGACCGGGAAGTTCGTGATCCCGGGGCTTTGCATGATCAAGACGCGCAAGAAGCCAGCCACAAAGGCGGGCAAGCGGATGATGTTTCTCGATCTGCCTAGCACAAGCTTTCGTGTGTTTCCATGACCTTGTAAGCCTTTCTTCTCGACAGGAGATATACAAACAAGTGAACGGTTTTCGCCCTTGTCCGTTGGCCCAGGTTCGGCAAAGAGGTGGCCATCAAGGCTCAGCCTGCGAAAACGGTTGTCAAGGCATTCGCAGTTTCAGCTCTGAAGAAGCAGATGTAAAACGTTCTGGCTGTGAGCTGCGTCTACACTGACCGGGTGCTGATCGATGGGGTTTGGCGAACAGCGCCTGGGGGTAGGCAGAACTTGATGCGCTGCATGGTTGTTTCCATCACAACCATGTCACGCCACAATTTGTGGTTTCCAAGTTGTACATCGTACCTGGAGCCATCAGAAGAAAGCAGGCGCGACCCACTGCGAAGGGGACATGAGGCAGAGGGTGGAGTGTTGAATGATTTGCCTTCGATGGCAACAGCGGCGCCCTGTTGACTTTGATGTTTCATTTTTGATTTCTGGATTGTTTGGTGCTTACTCAATCATTCAGAAATACGTTTTTGCATAACACATGCCAAAACCATGGAAACCGGTAAGGTCTCCCCAAAAACGATAATCTTAACTAACACACGGCTCTATAATAACCCCTGCAGTTGCAACTTAGTTAGGGTGGGACCCTTGCGTGGCCACCGTAGTCGCCACTTTCGAGCTGGAGCTGCCAAGGTGTGCTTCGTAAATACGACACTTGTACTGAGAAGTTGCGATTTTCGAGCTGGAGCTGCGGAAGTGTACTTCACGTACTAGACTTGCAGAACAAAGTTGCGATTTTCGAGCTGGAGATGCGGAAGTGTACTTCTCGTACTAGACTTGTACTACAAAGTTGTGATTTTCGAGCTGGAGCTGCGGAAGTGTACTTCGCGTACTAGACTTGCACTACAAAGTTGCGATTTTTGAGCTGGAGATGCGGAAGTGTACTTCTCGTACTAGACTTGTACCACAAAGTTGCGATTTTCGAGCTGGAGCTACGGATGTGTATTTCGCGTACTTGACTTGTACTACAAAGTTGCGAATTTCGAGCTGGACGCGGAGTGTACTTCGCGTGCTATTCTTTTACTACAAAGTTGCGAATTTTGAGCTGGAGCTACGGAAGTGTACTTCGCGTACTAGAGTTGTACTACAAAGTTGCGATTTTCCAACTGGAGCTGCGGAAGTGTATTTTGCGATTTTTGAGCTGGAGCTGCGGAAGTGTACTTCGCGTACTAGACTTGCACGACAAAGTTGCGATGCTCGAGCTGGAGCTACGGAAGTGTACTTCGCGTACTAGACTTGCACGACAAACTTGCGATGCTCGAGCTGGAGCTACGGGTGTAAACGCTTTGCGTTGCCCGCGTCGGCCAGTCCGCTTTTGGCTGGCTTTGGCGCCGAAATGCGTGAGCTGGTTTCCAAGGTAGAGGGTGGGTGCATGTCGCTGTCCACATGGCTGCAAGGCTCAGAACGAGAGCCGCAGAGAGCTACAGAATGGCAGGGGGCTTGGGCCACGCCAAGGTGAGCATTTCTAGGGAATTTGACTGGTTTCCTGGGGGAGTCTTGCCGGTTTCTAGGGGATTTGACCGGAGGACCGGCTTTTAGAGGGGTTCTAGAGGGAGTTTGATAGGTTGATTTGACTGGAGTTGGGCCTGGCTTGAGAGGGGATGTGACTGGTTTTTAGAGGGGAAGTTGGCCCGTTTCTAGGCGTGGCGGTTTCCAGAGAGGGGACTTGACAAGGGGGATTTGGCCGGTTTTCCGGACAATTAGGGGGGATTTGCCGCGCGACTTGGCTGGTTCTGAAGGGTCTGACCGCCGGGGCTGAGGCGAACTCAACACATATTTTAGTTGCCATCGCAGTGTGTTTCTCTATATATATATATATATTTCTATGTATGCACTATTGTACGTACATACATATATATATATATATATATATGGTACAGCGTTGCCAGCCACCCCCCCCCCCACCAATGGCCATGGGTCAGACAAGTACCCCCCCCCCCCCTGTGGTTGTGGTGTGGTGGTTTAGGGTTGGTTTAGAATTGGTTTAGGGTATATTTAGGGTGTATTTCGGGTTAGTTTAGGGTTGGTTTAGGGTTGGCTTATGTTGATTTAGGGTTGGTTTAGGGTTGGTTTAGGTTTACGGTTTAGGGTGTATTTAGGGTTGGTTTAGGGTTAGTTTAGGGTTGGTTTAGGGTTGGCTTAGGTTTAGGGTTTATTGCTTAGGGATTGGTTTAGGGTGCATTTGGGGTTAGTTTAGGGTTGGTTTAGGGTTAGTTTACGGTTGGTTTATGTTGATTTAGAGTTGGTTTAGGTTTAGAGGTCTACGGTTTAGGGTTTGGTTTAGGGGGTATTTAGGGTTCGTTTAGGGTTAGTTTAGGGTTGGTTTATGGTTGGTTGCGGGTTGGCTTGTCCTGGGGGTGGGGGTGCCGGGGTGTCGGGGTGCCAGTTCAGGGGGTTGGGGTGGGGGCGGGACCGTAGGTGACAGGATCCGGGGGCTTGGGGTCTCGGGTCGGGGGGGTCCTGGGGGACCCATACCATATGGGGGGGGGGGGGGTAGCAACACGGAACACGGGACCATATATAGATATGTTATGTATATATAGATATGTGAGGGAGCTCTCGGCCGTTTTCGCCCAAGGATTTGGCAGTCAACGCTGGGCGAGGTCCGGGATCAGCTTGCGGCCTTGCCTTCACACATCGAGCACCAGGCGCGCTCTGAACGCGCAAAAAAACCAACGTGCGGTCAGGAGGAATGAGCACGAATTCATGGCGAACGCTTTGGGTTCCGTGATGCCATCATCAAATCCGCATTTGCACAGTGCCATGCACGGCAAGCACAGGTCTTCATCAAGCCCGCGATGGACACTAAAGCCTTTTCTGCCATTATTGAGCCAAAGGAGAGGGTTTCGTTCTGTGTGATGCTGTGTGGTGGCGTGGGATGGCCGAGAGTTGGACGATAAAGCGACAGCATGTCGGACTGGATCGCGAGTTTTGTGGTAGGAGCAAATGCTCGGCACCTTGTTGGACGGGATTCCTGGCGCTTTGGACCCCTTGCCAGCGGAGATGCCTGTGCACTGCGCAGAGGTCATTGACACTTGACCTCACGCTTCAGCACTTGACACAAGGAACTCATTGGCGAAGGACAGTTGCTCTGTTATGTAGGCAAACAATTCAAACTTGAATCACTTGGGTGCTGGTCCTGGTTTAGGGCCGCTGGCACGAGACTCTCGGGCCGTTGGCCGAACTGTACGTACATTCGTGTCAGATCTTGATGCCACATCTCTGGCACTTACTGCATTCGAGGATATGATCTCCGAGTATCGGGTGTATGTGGTGGAAGGTGAGATCCGCGCAGTTTGCCACTACAAAGGTCCTTCCCGGGGTGACGGAGCCATCGATGAGTTAGTGGTTGAAGATGCGGTGCGCAGCTTGGCACCGCTTTTGATAGAGCGGATTTTGAGGACATAACTTGAGCAGCAATTTGCCTTTTAGCATACAACCACAGGCCATGCCAGAAGTCCAGAGCATGACTTCCCCATATTTGCAGTGTGCCAACCGCTCCTCGAAGGCACGCTATGCAGCAGTGAGGAAGGTCATGGGCTAGCAGGGATGGGAATGGACTTTGCCGTCATCAGGCAGCGCACGGGTGATAGAACTGTCTTCAAGACCTGCCTGGTGCTCTGGCCTTTTAGATTATGCTTTCACCATTCGTCGAGTCAAGCAAGCCAAGCAACGTTTCGACTTCAATTCACCAGATGGGTGCCCTGCTCCAGATTCCGGAATAACACATCTGAGGTTGAGGTGAATGACGGATACTCTCTGGGCAAGTACAATGGCGTTTCGGGCAAGGATTACACAGACCTCCTGATTGCCAGGCCAGCCCCCCCACCCCTCAGTTACAGCCGCCAGTCATGTGGCGTGTAGCACTACGGTTTCGTGGAAGTGGCGTGCTGACTATGCACAGCTCGCAGCATGTTTTTTGCAAGATGCAGGTTTTGGTAAAGTATTTTCTCGTCGTGCAACTCATCGGCCGTTGAGTTCTTGCAAAGTCATGTTTGGTCAAGGGACGCCCCGCCGAAGTTCCAAATGCCGATTGGGCCAGGTGGAAGCAGTTGGTGCAGAGATAGTGCCGCAGATGTAGCTAGTGCTGCCCAACCATAGGCTGGCACGATCGATGCATTCGGTGCACCTTGAGCTTGTGTTGAGGGAAGGCACTCAGACAGATGACTCAGGAAGCAGAAGATGTCTCGGCGTCGCGAGCTGTGAGTTCCTCACAATGACTCCAATTGGCCAAGACGCGTATGCCAAGTCTTGAGACTCTGTCGATGGACTTTATGGAACGGAGCGAGGTTCATGCCTGCGGAGGCGTTCTGGGTCCACAACGCTTGCCATCCTCCGCGATCAGTTCAAGCAATGGGCGCTGGCAGCTGTCCTCGGCGTTTCACATACGACCAACGCAGCAAAGCAACCGCGCCCAGCTTGCATCAACGACCAAGGCTTGCTACACTACCCAAGCAGAGTGATGAGGAAAAAAGGCGCAAGCACTTTGCTTCTTTCAGTTGTGCAACCCCTGTTGACATGTACAATGAGCCAGTTCAAATATTTTTGGTTTTGGCCCTTCAAAGGCAACACAACAGACACTACATGTTTTTCTTCCCATGAAATCGGTAGCTTCTAAGTCAAGTTGAGCTCAGAAAATAATGCAGGAGAAGAAGAAAGCCATGAAGGCTCAGAACGCCTCTTGGCCATAGTTGTAGGCTCCAGCAGCTGGCATGTAAGTGAAACAATGGCAGTCCCATGTTCTTTGCTTCAGCGATGGTAGGCTTTGTTGCTTCGATGCAAAAGGTTCGTTTGCACGCGAGCCACATGCATTTGCGGTATTTTGCGGCCCTATGACAGACATCCCAAGCCTCCCGTGTTTTGGGCACCCAGGCACTCGGCCTCAGCCTGGTCTTTTGGATTTGGCACCGTGGCCTTTTTGCAGCTTGATCGCCGTGAGCGCAAGGGAGGGTGGCAAAGCCCAAAAGAGGTGAGGTACAAGCTCGTGTTTGTACTGGTGGGCCAAAGCTCAGCGAACTAGCGTTCTACCTGAGAATAGGTTCAACACTTGCTGGCAACCAGCACCCCTGAGCTAATCGGGGCCAGCTCTGGACTCTTGCTTTTTGCCGAGAGGTCTTGGATACCCTCGTGCTTATTTTCCCAAGTTTCACCCAGCGGTTCTGTGCCTGCGGAGCACACCGCCAAAGAGACTCCGCTGACTGCTTTCGCAAGCAGCTCCAGACGGCCGAAGATTTGTTGCCTCCAAGATCATCATGCACCCCTCAACGGTTTAAGTTAGTCAGATCGCTTGAATGCTTCACATCCCGAGATGGCGGAATGCTTGTCTTTTCCTCTCATCGCGTTGTCCAAAAAAGCTTCTACAAGTGCACAGAGTGTGATAACCTTCTAACCCTTGCAAATAACGCCAGCACATGCCAGCACGTTCCGATTGATGGCTGCGCACCGCATCGGGATCCGTTCGGATAAAGAGACGCTGCTGGTGCTTTCAGGGCATCCTGCCCAATGAAGAGAGAAGCTTAGTCTGATTGCTCGGCCTTCAAGCCCGTGTAAGAAGCTGAGGGAGGATCGATGGGGTACCGCCACCGGATTGCTTGCTCTCAGTAGTCATGAGTTTGTTTGAATCAGGAGGCCTGACATGTTCCTACATATACATATATATATATGTATATATAGATAGCAAAATGGCGCATTTCGAAGAGCCATGCGGGAGGACTGTGGCAAGCAAGCCGTGGGGCGCTGCTGCGTGATTTGCAGGGCCGAGAGGCGGGAGATACGCATTGGCAGGCGGAGGCAATGTGCGCACGCGATGTACACGGAATACAGGCGGTTCGGAACCAAACGTAATTTCCAGTGGCAATGGCCAGCCTTGACAAGCGTTGAAGCCGGAACAGCATTGAGTTGGTGAATTCGTATGCCACAAGGCCGAGCTGTCAGCTAGGGACCTGGGCTATGCCTTACAGGCGGGACACATCATGAATTGGGGAATTGGGAACATGGGAACTGTTTGAACCACTTCCAAGTTGACTGCTCAAAGGTGGCGTTCCACAATGAGACTAATGTAATCAAAACCACGGCGGTCAAATGCAGTGCAATGTCTGTTGTCATGCTGCCCAACCTTGCCCACGCGCTGCAGATGGATGCTGCTCGGAGGGTACCAAAGAATGCCATGGTGATAACATGTCTGATGCAAGGACCAGGTCAGGCTTGTCAGCACGTCGTCCACCTAAAAATCCAGGCGCGAGTTGCAAGTGACAACTCTTTTCTTCTACCGTACTTCTTGCTTTTTTGCTGATCCATTTCATTAGACGTACTGCGCAACCACAAAACACCCTGAGCACTTTAGCCTCTTTGGGGCCCCCTGGCATCATGCATGGCCGGCAGCTTGCTGAGGCGGACGGACTGTCGGATTGTGATGTTTTTGTTTCGATGTGACTTGCAGGATGTTCACGCGGGAGCCCGGAGCATCCACAAAAATTCTTAGACGGCTCACCCCACGAAGCTTGTGCGAGGCTGTTGTGCAGCTAGTGAGAGTTTGCTGGAAGCACTGTAGCCAACTGGGCCACTCAGAAGGGAATATTTGTGTTGCTTTGCCATTCCTCTACCGCTAATTGCTTGTCGCTTCCACGGCAAATGGAGAGTTTTACTTTGCAGTCGATCACGGGTTGCTTTTCACACCCCAAGCGCATCCAAGCGCATCAGGTCAGCCTGAAGCTACCCAGACCGCTGAAGCTGCGCATCCGAGCACGCTATGCCGGGCAGGACAGCCTGACGGCATCAGCCATGTTTGCGCATCCAAAGCCGTCACAACGGGTGGCAGACCCGAGGCCTTGTTCGACTGCTGAAAGGGTGGCCGACTGATTGTCAGGACTGCGACAAGGCACTGGTGAGACTACGAGTCCTGCAAGGCGCGCTGAGGCGCTTCTTCGCAATCCTTGGTGCTTGTACTGCATGAGTCTATTTTGCTGCTTGTCTGATGCTCAAGAAAGTATGTTGCACGTGTTCTGTTGCAGCCTTGCCTTGCTTCCACTCAAGAATTGTGTCAATCAGCAAGCTACAGAACATGCGAATGCATACAAACCTTCAGTAACATCGCAAACCTGGTTGTTTTTCATGCCGCAACCTCCAGTAGCCATGGCAACGACCATTGCCATTGTTTGGGCCTCTCGTGGCGGGCTGGGGGACGTGGGCAAGCTGGCGGCGATGCACGCAACCCGTCTCATGTCGCGGAAAGGGTTGTGGATGCGGCTGTCGTGGTAGTCGCCATAGTTGGTAGTTGGATGACAAAACCATTCCGCAATTCCTTGAACATTCAATCAAAGGAATGTTTTCTGCTGTGGCATAGAAGTGCAAGAACTTGCAGTGAAGGACATCTGCACGGGACCATGCTCCGATGGCTTCATGGTGTAAAGCTGACTTAGGCAAAGCTGGGCGGAGTGCAGTTCCGCGCAGTGGCCCTCAATGATGGCAAGGAGGCCCATCACACATCAGACATGATCCGCGGCCTAAACGGCCTACACGGCTTGGTGGCATGTGGGGTGTTGCAACAGTTTGCCAGGAACATTCTGTGAGGGCATGGCATGTTTTGCTGCGCAGCCCGTGCCTTTGTGCCTGCAGGGCCTTGACACCGGCATTGATACCACGGAGGTTGTGCCCGAGACCCGGCGAGAGAAACTTCAGGAAGTGCTAAAGGATGTCGAGGCAGGGAACAACAACACCGTCCTTTCTTGTTGACCTATGCCGCATTCGCGGCGGCCCGATGACAATGTCGGAGTGATTGGACGGTTCTGTTTTCCTTCAACTTGCATGCAGTCAAGATCACACATGCTACCAAACAAGGAGCTCCTCGAACCCAATCGCATGCCGATGTGCAGGTGAAGCAGTTGGACATCACGGGTGACAGCACCTTGCTGGAGGAAGTTTTCAGCGGCTGTGACTGCATCATTGCTTGCCCTGGTAGCCGCCAGAACAAAATAGCACGCACGTGCGCCCTGGGGGCGAAGAAGATTTGCCATGCAGCACAGACACATAGCTGCAAATCAGGAATTGTCCGGCTAAGACGCTGCTTGCACTTGCTCCAAACGTCTTGACATTGCAAGGAAGGCTGGCGTCCCCCGGATCGTGGTGCTGTCATCCTTTGGCGTTGGCGCCGATTACCTTCCGTGTGTCCTGTTTGCAAGAGCCCTGCAATAGATCTGCCCGGACCAATTTTAGTTTGATCGTATGAGAGCATCACGGCTCCTCAAACTTGTAGAAATCTGGCCCGGATCATTGGAATGAACTTTTGCAAGCCCAGGCAGTTGCATTGGATGCATTTGGGGCTGCCTCTTGCGCTGCGCCTGGCCGGGTATGCGCCGTGACCTCATTGAGATGGATGAGACACTCGGCTAAAGCGAAGAAGAAGGCAAACCAAGCAAAGCAGTTCCGTGTTGCTTCAACTCGCATCGCTGCCTTCCGAGGATTGTCGCCTCATCGGGTCTCGAGTATCTGCTGGTGCGGCCCATGGGCATTGATCCCACGGAGCAGCCGCTGGGGAGCTGGAAACTGGTCACCGCCAAGGGCCAAGGCCAGGACAAACCAGTGCTCAAGCCGAGGTCGCTGGGTCCGACCTTGTCATAGGGCTTATTGGATCTATAGCACTGTGACGGGAGCAAAAATCCCATGAAAGTACTTGAAACGCTTTCTCAGCAGAAATTCAACTCAGCGCCTTGCATTGCGCAAATCAGCTGACCGGCTAGGCGAGCCAAAGATCCTTTGGGGAATCGCGCAAGTTTCGTATCAAGTCACATACAGGTGATGCACAGCTGCTTTACAGGCAGCCTACCCATCACCGTAGCGAAAGAGGACGTGGCGCAGTATCTCCTCCGTACCTTGGCTGGCTACACATGACATTTTTTATTTTATTTTTTGAATACTTGTTTCTTCTTTTTTTCTTCTTCTCGCAATTCAGTAAACTCAGTTACACCTTTCGCACAAATCAGGAATCCAAGCCATGTTGCATGCGCAGCTCAGGAGAAGCAGTGACGCCAGAGCACAAAAGCATGTCTGTCACTATCGGCAAAGACGTGGCAGCAAAGCCACCAGTATCAGAATGAATTGACAGCTATGCCCAAAGAGGTTTGGCCATTTTGCTCAGTGCTCGAATGACTTGCCTTCCAATTGCAGTGCTTCTTTAGTCTGTTGCACTGTGAGGGTTTCAACACTTCTTCGCAGTTGGTTCCATGGCACGCAGGTGGTTGCAATGAATCGCTGTTGTTGCCGATTGATTAATCTCGCAGTTGTCGCTGCTTCTAAAGAGCTATCACAATAACTTTTCCCGTGTCAAGAAGCTTTAGCATCACTATTCGAAACGGGGGCTGCGAATTGGAATAATCTTGGCATGAGGTGTACATGAGTGTCCAACAGACGTGGAGCAACCAGGATACCCTTGCCCTTGATCGCTGCCAGCAAGGTAGCTGATTCAGACGGCGATGGGACAGGTAGCGTGCATGAATATGCAAGATCACCTTGAGTTGTGGTCGCCGCATGATTTGATACTTGTCCACATTCCTTGCAGTGGTGAGAGTCCGCTTTTACGTTGAACTCTTTGCCAAGCAGGGAGGCTCTTCCCTGTTCGCACTGTCAATCCTTGCAGCTGGCCCTGGCTTCTGATCATGTGCATGCCTAGAGTAACGGTTCTCTGGAGCAGAAGCTGGGCCTGAAACGTGCAGTCGCATTGCCGGATATTGATCTAAGCCTGACACTACGAGTCCTCGGAGAAATCGACTTATGGTCGCTGTTGCAGAGAGTGCAATGAGCTTTCAGACTTGCGGGCCAAGGCTGGCGTGAATATTTGAAAAGAACACTTCTGATGGCATGCTTGAATTTTGTGAGCCGGCGCTTCACACTGTCGACAGATTGTGGATTATGGCCTCTTTCAGATTTCTGCTGAAATTGCAAGCTCGGAGGCATGTGCGGAATCGTCGTCCGCCGCCCAGTTTGAGCATTGGGTATCTCAGCGCCAGACCTGCTCGATTTCGAAGCTGGCTCCGCTCACTTCGACTTGGTGCTTATGCCTCGTGGATGCGTTAGGACTCTTGCCGCCGATTCGCTGGCCCCCTTGCCAGAGTTAGCAATAGAGTGTATTTTTTGCCACACTTGCCCTCGAGAAGGAACTCAATGCATTCAGCCAGTGTTGGATAAGCGTTGTGTACTGTGATGCAACAGGTAGAATTGAGTAGCGACTTACCAAGCGTCGCCCTAGTTGGCATGCCAATGTACAAATCAAACAATGATAAGTTTTTTTTTGTTATAATTTTGCAACTTATTTGCTGTAGAATGGCATTTGATCTAGAACGCACCTGTGCAACTGGTCCAGCCTACGAAAGGGACAGGTCCAGGTTCATGGGCCTACCATTGGTTCCTTTTGCAGGTCTTTGTCATCTGAATCCCTAAAAAACTTTCGAGAAACAACTCTTGGGGCCATGGCGGTTCAACTTGCAACCCGTGTGCAATGGCAGACACCTGCGATGACCGTCACTGGGCAACTTGCATTCGTGCAACTCCTGGTCTTGCAGCTACAAAGCTTGCAAAGCCTCTGTGGAATCTTGCTTGCGGTGAATAGGGTATGCATCAAACATGCAGCTCAGCACACTGTATTCTTTTTGCAACACCGTCTCTGGATTCAAATCAAAAGCGTGCAATCCGTTCAGTCAGCAGCACTCATGACTCCCAACCTCTGCCAGCCATTGCCCAAACTTTCAAAGGGTCGGTCGAAGGCGCCATCTTTTGGAAAGTGCCGCTTTTGCAGCGAGCCTGGATTGCCTAGACCAAAGCTCACGCCTTTTAGGTACCATCAACAGATTGGCAGTACTTGCTCTTTGCAAAGCACCCGCATGCGCCCAAGCATTGCGCAGCAGCAAACGTTTGCACATGATCAAAGGCCCTCGAGATGTACGAGTTCGGCAAGCGAAAGGTTGTCGCCAGCCGCTCGGTTAACACGCGTGCTACAGTACTTGTGACAATTCGTGCAGTGGGACTGAATAAATGTTTGTTGAGTTCTGGGATGTCTTCGTTCCACAAAGTGCTTCAACGACGAAAGATGCCATGCGCATATCCAAGGACAGGCCCGACCTGGCTCAATTCCAAAGCCGAACCAACCGGAGACCCCAGCTTGACACATTTTGTTTTGAGACACCATTCCAGTGCGACATGATGTGCCCAGCAGACACAGTGTATGCGATAAGTGCAACGTGCGCAGTTGGTGCAACATGTGATTGAGATAAACCTGGCATCGTTCATTGCGAGTGCAGGAGCTCCAGCAAAACGTCCACACGCCTTTCGCCGGCCGGTCAAACGAGCTGCAAAAAGGTATGTGGGCACTGTGTGGCAACAGTCTTGCCGCTTGCCAGTTTGCAAGGGATGCAGCGGCCCATGTCCAGCCATGCCGGAAGCCGGTCCAGTCCAGGCAACAACTTCGGGTCTCCTGGCTGGCGATGCGCCAATTTGCCGCAGGCTGTTCGAGGAGGCGGCTGCCGCGCAACTGGAAGGTCAAGAGAGGCTAAGGTGTGACTTTTCTGCTCGGAGTTGCTTGGTCAAGATATTGATGTTGTGGACAGTCTTCTGATGCAAACACATTAGGCGGAAGCAGCTTACCAATGAGGCATTCAGGAAAATGGGCTCTTATCGAGGTGTGTCTATTCTTGAAACAATCTCCAGGTATCCAGAGAACCCACACATCGGGAGAACGGCGAGCTTTGCTTGACATCTGAAGGTCCTGCACCATGTCATGGCGCTGAAGCCGGAGGACCTTGCGTTTTCTTTCTCATGTAGTAGCTGCTAGTAGCTACTAGTCTGAGGCCTTGACTCAGATTTTTTGGTTTAAGACCGCTTTCTACTTTCAGACCGTGCATTCTCGCTCTTGCTTTGGCAGCACAGGGTGGTTCACTGGCAGGGTTTGTTTGCACAACCTGCAAATGTCAGATCATTCAGCATGCTCGAGCTGCGATGCGCTTCGCGCATGGCTTACGGTTTCTTCAAATCCTTGTCCCAACCCATGTTTTGCCGGGCGCTAGGTTTCACACGAGACCAGACACCGTCTTGCTGCTCTGGGGGCCATTTTGAAGATGTCACTTTGGACCCAGATGGCTGGCCTGGAGGGAGGACGGTCAACGTCGCCTTGGCGCGTCCGAACGACTCATGGACCCGGCTTCCAGGAAGTCTGTTGAACATATGCACTAGAGCCGCGCTCCCAGAGCGCATGAGGAAGGCACGAAGGATCGCTAAGAAAAGAGGAGTCACCCGACTAGTTGGATGTTGGATGATGGATGGTTGCTCACCTCGGAGGACTCCCTGCGCTTGCTGCGGGCGGCTGGCAAGATGCCTCCTAGTGCTAGGCCTGGCCAAGGCTGCCCTTTGATTTGCCCTCACTTCAGTTGTTCGAAATGTTGGAATGTTGACTTTGGCCTTTGATTATTTGATTCTTGGCTGAATCAAGCTCATCCCTTCGTTAGGGTCCGCGTTTTCGTAGCTGTGATCGTGGCTATACTTCCTGTTTCGACTACGCGGCACAGGTGCCAGCCTGTTTGGAGCTAGGTGTTCTGTTACACAGTTCTGCTTGGCTTAAGAGCCAACGATGCACGCCCTGCGTCCTTGAGGTCTGAAGAAGTCACAGAGCTCCTCATTGCTGAGGCCAGGTGCCAATATCATGGCCACTCTGCAACGCCAGTTGGACAATCCAATATATACCCTGTCTGCAGCCGTCATCCATCAAGCTTGCTGCGTGGTCAGATCGCTCTTTGTTCTCCCTTCTGTTGCAGACATGGCTCCCATGAAGGCAACCAAGACGATGAAGGCGATGAAGGCTGCCAAGGCCATGACCAAGGGAGGCATCGTGAGTGAGCTGGCCTCGGCTACAGACATGAAGAAGTCTGACTTAACGCAACTTCTCGGACAGCTTTCTGAAATCGGGGCGAAGGAAGCGAAGGCAACCGGGAAGTTCGTGATCCCGGGGCTTTGCATGATCAAGACGCGCAAGAAGCCAGCCACAAAGGCGGGCAAGCGGATGATGTTTCTCGATCTGCCTAGCACAAGCTGTTGGGTGTTTCCATGACCTTGTAAGCTTTTCTTTTTGACAGGAGATATAAAACAAGTGAACGGTTTTCGCCCTTGTCCGTTGGCCCAGGTTCGGCAAAGAGGTGGCCATCAAGGCTCAGCCTGCGAAAACGGTCGTCAAGGCATTCGCAGTGTCAGCTCTGAAGAAGCAGATGTAAAACGTTCTGGCTGCGAGCTGCAAAGCCTGTGACCCGAGTGCTGATCGATGGGGTTTGGCGAACAGCGCCTGGGGGTAGGGTGAACGGCAAAAGCGACCTGGTAGGTTCCTGGCATCATGGCAAGCCCTGCTTTGCCACGATGCGCTTTTGACATTGTACAAGCAGCCGTGGAGAGTCCAAAAAGTTCTTGCGTGGGGCGTTGTGCAAAGCAGGGGATCGTTTTTTCTTGGTCTTTTCAATCACTTGTCAAGGAGAAGGAGAGTGGGGAGAGAGAGCGAGAGAGAGAGCGACCTTTCGGAGCTCTTGACTGGAACGGACACAAAGCTCTTGAAGCGACGTTTCGACGTTTCGCTTCGCCGCGCAGGTGCTGCGGGGGCTGCGGCAGTTGCCGCCGCCGCGTCTTTGTGATGCCCTGCAGAGCTTTGCCGAGCTTCAGCTGCAGGAGCCACACCAGCCTCATCATTCTGGATCAATATATATATATATTATATGTATATAATATCTCACAATATAATACGTACGTCAATGAAGTTGTGCCATGTTGGGATGGAGCTAGGCTTTCGTGGTGCTTTGTGGTTGCGATTCGCTTGCCATTGGTATTGTAGTTGGTCAGAGCCGTTGACGATTGCTTGACTTGCACAATTGCATTGCTGGATGGGCGCTTGGGCCAACACCAAAGTTCAGACACAATTTATGCCTCGCACTGATCACCGCCATTTTTTGGATCGTGTTCAAGGCCTGGTAGCTAAGTGCAACATCAGACCTGGCAGCTAAACGCTGAAGCCTGTCACAATGATCTCCCATCAATTCAGGGGACATCGCAACGGTCACAAGCCAGAGCTTGTTCTACATTGCGCCACAGCTTGTTCCACATAAGAAGCTGTGTTACTTATGCAGCGATTGAGCGCTGGGACGTGAAATGTGGTCAACAGCCTTGCGCCCTTCCAAAAGTGTGAGTGTGTTTGGCGCAGATTCATGATCCCACAAAAGTCACAGCTTGCAAAATTGAGACCGACTGGTCACCTGCACAGCGTACGGGAGCCATGTCGCCATGTCCCACCATGACGGTGAGCGAAGGCGGGTGCCCGTTTGAACTGAGAGGTCACTCGATGCTGCGGAAATTTGGCAATTGCCTGGCCGGTCAGTTGCCTCACTTGCGTGTGCTTGATTAGCGGGAAGAGTTAAGCGCTGACACTTGGTTGGTAAGGTCGGAAAGATTTGACTCTCTGGGTAGAGGCCAAAACTTGCCTCTCAGCCAGGACATGCAGCTACGATCAATAGTGTGTGCCTCTTTTTTGCTTAGTCTAACGGGATGATACTTTTCCATGAGCTGCATCAATAGTAACCCTGTGATACTGACTAAACGTGCGTTCTGTAGT